CTCAAGTTCAAGGCAGAGTGTGTCTGAAAGCTAAATAAGTAAGCAGGGTGTGGTGTACCACAACTCTAATCCTGGCACTTGGGATGCAGAGGCAGGCAGACCTATATGAGTTCAAAGCCAGCCTGGTTTACATGAGAGATTGAGGATAGCCAGGGCTAAAAGTGAATAAAGTTTAAAATATACATGCGCACAAAGAGCAGGGAGACGAAGCAATAGAAAGCCACCCAGCCCTAACACCAGCGAGGCCAGAGACAGGGAAACCGCCCGCTGCCTCTCCTGTTGTAACCATCCAGGTGACGAGACAGACTAGTGCAGACCCTTGGAGAGTCCTGATTTTGTGGCTTGATGTTGGGATAAGCTTTTGTAAATGCTTCTCTCCATCCTCGTTTGCCTAAGGCACCTTCTGATTGATTTAATGTGGAGGAAATCAGACATTCAGTACTGAGGAGAGGTAACAAGTCACGTGACAGAATGTAGATTAATATAAATGGTTAATTTACATTATAAGAACAAGTTGGGAACAAGCCTAAGCTAAGGCCACACTTTCATAATTAATAAAAAGGCTTCATGTCATTATTTAGGAGTTGGCAATCCAAAGAAAAACCGACCACAGCTTACCCTTCGGAGATGAGGCCCCGCCACAAGGGAGAATTCCTGGGAAATAGTGCCTTGCTGTGTCTTCCTAGTCCTCTCTTTCCAGTCCCCAAGGCAGCTGACCACTGAAGAACACAATTTCACAAAGCCTCATCTTAATCTCCTCTCGCCATCCCTGTAGACTGCCCATGAGTGACACCATCCCTGTAGACTGCCCATGAGTGACACCATCCCTGTAAACTGCCCATGAGTGACACCATCCCTGTAGACTGCCCATGAGTGACACCATCCCTGTAAACTGCCCATGAGTGACATCATCCCTCCAGACTGCCCATGAATGACATCATCCCTGTAGACTGCCCAAGAGTGACGTCATCCCTCCAGACTGCCCATGAGTGACATCATCCCTGTAGACTGCCCAAGAGTGACGTCATCCCCCCAGACTGCCCATAAGTGACGTCTTCTGATTAGATTTTACATTCTTACCTTGATGGTGTAGGCCAATAGTGCCACTCAGGAGTGGATGCCCAGGAAACCATCAAAACAAACAAGAGAGGGGCTGCAGAAATGACTTGGTGGTTAGGAGCATTGGCTGCTCTTCCAGAGGATCTGGGTTCAGTTCCCAGCACCCTCACTCAGCTCATAACTGTCTGTAACTCCAGTCATGGAGATCCAATGCCGCCTTCTGGCCTCATTGAATACCAGGAATAGATATGATGCCCTGACATACATAAAGGCAAAACACTCACATACATAAAAATAATTTAAAAAGAAACAAAAAGAAATGAGAGACCTCTCAGGCTAGACCTGTTTAGTGCACATGCTACTTGTAAGGTTTCAGATGTGCTGTGTTCTGGGTTGGGGCTGTTGGTTCTGACACACAAGCATCCCTTGCATGCCCATCTGATAAGGATGGCTCCTTTGAGCTAGGTGGTTCTCCTTTAACGAAGCACTCGGGAGGCAGAGATAGGTGGTTATCTAAGTTTGAGGTAGCCTGGTCTACAGAGCTAGTTCCAGGACAGCCAGAGCTACACAGACAAACCCTGCCTCGAAAAAATAAAGGGGATATTAATTCTTTCCCAGGGAGCTCCTAGTAGAGAGGACCACCCCCCAAAGCTTTGAAGCATGAAATGGTCATGTGACTAGGCCTCAACTTCATCTTCAGAGGCCACTGCTGGCATCTCATGATCACCAGCTGTGTGGACTAAGAGTCAGCTTATGAGTAGAAGGCCAACATCGTCAAGCTCTTGGGGACTAACACGAGATCAACTGCAAAATGGAGCTTGTGGCTGGTCCCACCCACTTTGCAGCATTGATGGTAGCTCGCTCCATCTGCAGTACTGAAATGTTCTGATTGCTGGGTGTCAGGAACTGGCGTCAGGTGCCCTGGCCTGATGCTGGCTCTGCAAGATTCAGTGTTACACTTGTTCTGTAAAGACTAGGAATGTTCAATGGTTAGGAATGAGATAGCATCAGAAAATTCTAGAGCATAGGTTCCTTGACCTCTCTCTGACCTCCCTGAATTTCTCAATGCACATGTGAGAAGTGGGAGGCACTTTGGAACAGGCCAGTGTCCAGGACAGGGAACAGGACATTCTTTAGCCAGTATGCTCCCTGTTGACTCCTCATGGATCCAGAGCTGGGCTGCATGGAGTGGGGATCTGGAAAGCCCTCCTTTTGGCGCTGGCTCCTGCTGCCTCAGGGTTCCTGGGAAGTCTGGCAAGCTCACTGAAGCCAGCATGCTTCAGCAGAAAGGGGGAGTATAACAACCTCAGACACCCCAACAGCACATCCATTCTGCTTAAGGAGCTGCAGGTCTGCAGAGTACTAACACAGCCTCAAAGTACACTTAGGACACAGCCGGGGCGGACTCCTCGCTCAGAACAGTGAGTGCAGGCAGGCCCGGACACTGGGAGGGACCGCTCAGAGTGTCGCTGCTTTCCTGCTGGTCCAGAATGACCAGGTCACCCAACAAGTGGTCAGAGGCGCAGGCACCAAGCCCCCCTGTGCTTGCCCTTCGAATGGAGTCTGAAGGGTCTCCGCTCCCCACTCCCACAGAGGCCTGTTGCTTCCAGGTCCCCAGGGAGGCACATTTTCAAGAACGGATCTTTCGTTGAGTTCTCCTGTCCCACCAGGACCCTGCTTTGCACTCACTGCTGGGTGCATGCACGCCTCATGCTCACACCACCATCACCTCCATTCTGTTGGACTAAGCCCATGTCCAAGCCACTCAGTCCATCCGTCATTTTAGTGCACCTACATCTCTATGAAAAGGCCTTCATTTTTAAATGTTTTTATTTTTATTTTTTTACCTTTGCTCTAGAAGTATATCTGATTCCATTAGCTTAAACTTTTGCAAGCATTTCTAATCTCTTACAATGCAGGTCTCCACAAGGTAAGGCCTCAGGTCCCCGCCCTTTCCCTCTCACACCTGAGGTCCCCCACCATGCCAGCACCAACATGCCGGCTTCCAGACTTCAGTGGGTCCCCGTGCCCAACAGGCAACATTCTCTCCACATAGAGATGCCTACCAGCCTCTGCCCTTAGCCACTGTCCCTTGCCATATTTGAAATTTCTCTTCCTGGCTTCACCTTTGACTTCAAGAGATAATAAGCCTGGCAGATGGCGCTGGGCTCCGATTGAGAGGTGGTTCCTAGGTTCAGCCTGGAACCCAGCTGAGCCTGAATGCCTCCTAAGTCTATTCTGACAGGGCCCAAGGGTTCCATCCCCACCCACTCCCAGCTTCCACTGGACCCAGATGAGGGTTGGGGGATGGGGAAAGAAGCCTCAGGTGAGTAGGTGAATGAACTCACTGTCTTCTCTGCCTTGCCAGGGTCCACACACATTCTCACCCCACAGAAACTGCTGGACACGCTCAAGAAGCTGAATAAAACAGATGAAGAAATAAGCAGTTAAAAACATAAGCCGCCCCTCCAAAGCCCTGGCTCCCTTCCCATAGTGCTCTGCAGCTCCCCAGTGCGAAGCCTCGTTACTCTGCTGCCTCCCCAGCCCTGCACGCCCTGGCCACCCCGCTGCCACGCTGAGTTCTTCTCCTGTGCGGAGACATCCTACCTTGTCCTTTGAAAAGCAAGAGAGTATGTGTTGTTTTTTAAAAGTGAGTATGTTCTGTACGTATCCCACACGAAGTTCACGTGCAGGCGCCACTGCAGAAGCGTCAGAACTCTGGACTGAGTGGACTTTCCTTATTTATGATCCTGTGACCTGTATATAGCCCTATGCCGTGTGCGCACATTGCTTGAGTATGGAAAGGTAGACATGTGGGTGTTTCTCAAAGCTTGTTTGGGCTCATTTCTTGTTTTGTTGGGAATCGTAAGGGGTCTGTCCCCCAGATACTCCATGCTGAGGAGTGATCTCCTCTCCGGTCCCTGCTCACCCCTGTTCTCATGCACAGAGGCTGGGGAGTGGCAGTGAGCAGAGCTCGAGAGGCCAGCATGGAACACACCTCTTCTTTGCCCAGTGTTGCAGCTGTGGGCGGGGCTTAGGGTGTCCACAGGAAGCCAGACTGTGTGCCAGCCAGTGTTGTCGCCAGAGCCTGGCACTACTCCCCTGACCTGTGTCCACAGTGCTCTAACCTGAGTTAAGTCCTCCAGCCTAAATCAGCATGCCTAGCACCCTCAGTTCCTCAAGAGAAGAGTTAGGCACATCCAGGCCCCTGCTTTCCCCAGGCTTCACGTAAGGGTCAGGAATGAAGTCCATGGGTTTGATACCCTGGTCAAAGGGTGCTTTGCTCTAGAAAGGTTGTAGGCCTGAGGCATGGGGGCCCTGCTGATCTTGTCTCCGCTCTGCAAGCGACATCAGTCAGAGTATCCAGAATTTGAGATACTTCATCATCTTAATTTTGTGTAATGTACAGTCATAGGTCATTGTGGTTGTATGAGAAAAATGATCATTTTATTCTTTGTATTAAAATCGTCGCTGTATAAAACATAGCTAGCTATAAAGCAGAAACTCCAGAAGCAGATGCTGGAAGGATGGTCTCCATCCTCAGGACGCAGCAGCTCCCTGAGCATGCCACTCACTCTGCTGCTGCTGTCGTCGTGAAACAAAGACAGTGGAAGTCACAAAAATGTCCCCAGCCCTGCCCCGCCCCGCCCCACCCCCTCCGCGGACTTGTGTGTATTACTGTGTCTTGTGCTGTCTTCGCAAATGTGGTCTATGCCTCCCTCCTCCCGCAGGTGACCTGTGCCCCTCTCCCTCCCTGGCTCTCTTAGTTCTCGGTCCTGGCCTCGTCCTTCCCCTCCAGTGACCTTGTTCCCTGAGGACCCAACCGTAGCAGCACTGGTTGATTTCTTCTGTAGCTGCTTCTTTTGTCCCTTCCCTCTGGTCAAGCAATGCTCATGCTTCAGGACCTCGTTTGTCGAACATGTGGGGTTTCCTTTATGTTATTTATATAAATAATTTCTCAAAAGGATATTTAAAAAAAAAAAAAAAGCTAGTCTGTCTTGAAACTTGTTAACTTGAAATTCTCGAATCTCAGTGTCTCGAGTACGGAAGCACAACCGTGTACCACTCTGTACCGTCCTGTACTGCAGCATTGGAGTCTAATAAAGACATCAGCGCTCACTCGTGGTGCCCAGTCTGACTGCCCATCCCACAGCTGCGGGACTACGATTTGCATCACATCACATCCGGACCTGTCTCTAGCCTTGGGCAGCAAAAAAATGCTGCCTCAGTGGACAAGCATGCTAACACTCACCTTTAATCTCCAACATTTGGGAGGCAGAGGCAGGGGGATCTCTTTGAGTTCAGCCACCCAGGTCTACATAATGAGTTCCAGGTCCAGCCAAGGCTGCATAGTGAGACACTCTCTCAAATGAATAAATAACAGTAAATAAGGACCTGCCTAGACATGAGGCGAGCTGCCTTTCACCCTGTTCCTTTCTACAATGCCTTGGCCTCAGACACTGCAGGACTCTGTATGTAGTCATGGTGTATTTAGAGCCCTGAGACGTCGGTCCCTCCATCAGTATCATTGGCCTGCCCCAGCCCACATGTAGAAAGAGCTCCTCCAGTTTGGAAGCTGGGTGTCCTGTGACCTGGGGAATCTGCTATGAGGTTAGCCCAGAGAGGAGCAGACACCAGACCAACATGGAGAAACTGACCACTCACAGGGCACAGAGGCATGGGGCTCATGAAATGCTCTCCTGCTGAGGTTTGGATATGGCTGGTCCCTGGACAGTCATGTGCTGGGAGCTCAGCCCTCAGTGTAGCAGTCCTGGCAAAGACTGAGGGAAATGACCGGGTTGTCGAGGCTACTGTGGTTCGCGCCGGAGGGCTGTTCTGTAGTCAAGCCTGGTCTCTCCCTGCCTCAACTTCTCACAGCAGACTCCTTTCTCACATGCTCCAACCAACAGCTGCGAAGTGCTAGGTCCCTTGACCTCCATAAGCAGCTGAATAAGCCAGCCCTAGGGACACAGGCTTGTGGTCCCAGCTGGTTAAGAAGCGGAGAAAACAGTAAAGTTTTAATTCTAGGAATTCTAGGGCTGCCTAGACTACAGAGAAGTTCAAGGTCAGCCTTAGCGAAACCCTGTTTCAAGACTAAAAGATAAGAACTTTAAGTTGGGTCTAGGGGAGGAGGGGGAGGCAAGAGAAGAAGAGAGAGGAACTGGGGTTGGTATGTAAAATGAAAGAGAAAATTTAAAAAAAAGGATCTGGAGCCAGGCAGAACAGTTACCTGGTGTGTGAGGCCTTAGACTTCATTGAAACACCACAAAACACAAGGAAAAGCAGCTAATTAGTGCTGGGAAGACTGCTCCGCAGGTAAGAGCACCTACTATTCAGAGGACTGGTAAGAGCACCTACTATTCAGAGGACTGGGGTTTGATTCCTAGCACTCACAGGGTGAGTCACAACCTCCTGGAATCCAGTTCCCAAGGATCCGACTCCCTCTTCTGGCCTCCATGGGCACTGCACATAGACATGCAGGCAAAATATCCACATACACAAAAATAAATCTCTGTACGTTATCCTGCCTGGGTAACAGGAAATGACACCTTCACTGTATGTAGGAATGTACCAACTCAAGGCTGTTAACATTTTGGTCCCGCCCCTTGGCGCCACCCTGTGTCCTGACATAAAAGTCTCTTTAATGAAAAACTCCACCCCTTTCTCTCTCCTCCCCCTCCACTCCCATGGGGTGTGCACCCCTCGACCCCCTCCTTCTCTCTTTCCTTCTCTCTCTCTCTCTCCTTCCTTCTCTTTGTCTCTCTATTATAATAAACCATTTCCACGCGGATGCAGCCTCTGGGTTGTGAATGTCCACCTGCTGCCCCACCGCCATGCCCGCATGGAATGGGTCACCCGCCAGACGGCTGCTGCATCTGCCCCGCATGCCAGCATGTTTCCCTGAACGTGCAGGATGCCCTCAGGGTCCCCTTGTGCAATAAATCATAACAAAGGCTACTTTGTAGATCTTGCACATGTACCAAGAATTTTTGCCCAGGGTGGTGGTGGGGAGCATCCTAGGCAACACTACCCACTTCTCTAAGGTCCCAATGACAAGTCAAAGTTTGATCCCACCACAGGTCCCCCCAGGGACCCATTGAGTTTATTGAGTGTACTCACAGAGCCTGAGTGAGGGGTCACAAGTGGGAGCATGGGGAAACAAAGCCATCTCACAGGAAATGGGAGGGATGACTTCCCCATGGCTACACAGATGGAGCCCCTTGCCTAGTTTCCCCAACCTGGGTATACTAGCCCCTTCCTGAGGTCATGTGCAGTTAGGGCAGGATTGTATATGGCTGCTTGGGAGGGGTGGCTGGATGCACAGGAGGGTCCAGTGGCCCTCCCATCCTCTCCTGTGAGGGAGGGTCAGCAGTCAATGAGCTCGGCTGAAATAGTCTTTGCAAGCGGGCCCACTCACGAAGATGGCAGCAGTAGGCTCGGAGGACAGTCTGCAGCACATCCCACCAGCTCCGACAAGACTCGCCGTGGAGGCAGACCAGTGAAGACAGTCTCGCAATCACGCCAGGCCTCTCCTGGGCCTGTGTTAGCTGGTCCCTGCCACTTTACAGGCGAGGAAGCTGAGGTTCGGGGGGTGATGCCCTGTTTCACAACACTCCTCCTGGAAGACGTCAGCCAGCCACTGTGTCCTGTCTGTCACCAGAATGCCTGGAATAAGATCCAACACACGACTTGAATTCTACGCTGAGTAACTGTTGAAGCCCAGTAAATCCTGCGTCCTCCTTCTCCCCAGGGTCACCTGTCCCTCTTTCTGCTGCTTTTTAGTGTTTTGTTCACTTGCTCTGTGTTGTTTTGTTACCATTGTGTGTGTGTGTGTGTGCAGTGGTGTGCATGTGGAGGTCAGAGACCAACTCGCAGGGGTCAGTTTTCTCTGTTCACTGTAGGTTCTGGGCATAGAACTCAGCTCGCCGGGCTGTGTGGCAAGAGCCCATGAGCCATATTGCTGGCCCATGTTTTCTTGAGACAGAGCCTTGCTGAGTTGCCCAGGCTGACCTTGAACTTGTGTTCCTCCTGCCCCCACCCCTCTCAGCTGAGATAGCAGGGGTGCAGGGCCACCCTGGGCTACCCTCTTCTGTTTTTTGATTTGTTTTGGTTTGGTTTGGGTTTGGTTTATTTCCGACTTCTCTTGGCCCAGGATTTCTGTCATTTCACCCCTCCCTGATCCCACCAAACGGCAAAGAAGTACTGTGTCCTGCCAAGGCCCTAGTGCCCAGTGTCCCAGGGCTCACAGGGAGCCTCGGGTCACTCCTCCAAAAGCTGTAGTGTATCTTCAGAGAAGATACTGCAGCAGGCCAAAGCATGGTCGGTCATGGCACACGCTACTAGCCCAGTGACCCTGGAACCCAGGCCACCAGCTGTGGCTGTTCTCCCTGTCCGTCCAGGGCCTCCAGTCCTGGGCAGGGTTTCAGCAAAGGTGCCCACCTGTGTGTGACACCAGGCGTTCACTCCCATGGGTCAGAATGACCGTGGCTGCGAGAATCAGGTAGACCCGAGTGGAACCTCTCTAATCCTCTGCTTATGAAGAATGTTCCCTCTTGTAGCATTCCCAAAGTGAGCCCCCTCACAGTGAACCCACTAAGCGCTCAGTCATCACTGAACATGATGACAGGCCCCAGGCATGCCTGGGGACCAAAGAGCACACACTCACGGACTGACAAAAGCCCAATGTGACTGAGGAGATGGATACCTACTGTCCACCATCCCACGCCTGCATGCTGCCTTCTCAACCCCAGGGGCTTTCCCTCCCTACCACGCTACAGCCAAGACCAAAGCTACAGAAAGAACTGTGTCTGCCTGGGGTAGCAATGGACAGATGGACCCTGCCACTAAGCTTTAAGGATATCTCAAGACTCCAGCCCGGGAGCCTCCAGTATAAACTGTTGTGTGGCTGTGCCACGAAAGGATTGACAGGTCTAGGAGAGGTGCTTCCTAGCACGGGGGCCCAGTGATTGTTTTTCTGCTTTTGACTAAGAATCTATGAGGAGGTCCACTTGGCTAGGCCTCCATCTTCTCATTAGGCCAAAGTCCCAAAGTGACAGGCTGTGATTTCTGGGGCTCTTGATAATTGTAATTAATTTACCACATTATTTATTTCCATTTGGGAGAAGGAAAGGTCTTGCTGGAACCCAAACTTGTACCCAAGTGATCTGAAAGGCTAAGCCCAGGCCAGACACAGGCTCCCTGTCCAGAAGAGGAAAGTGGCCCTTTAAAACTCAGCCTCACACTGTCAGGCTGTTGCTATGTATGGAACCAATTTCCTTAGCAACCACCTGGCTTCTTAAAGAGGACTTGAAACAGCCATCAGCCATGGCTCCCAAAAAGAAGCCGAACAAAGGTGGCAAAGAGTCTGAGGTCAAGAAGAAGAAAGGGGGCAAAAAGGATTCCAGTGCGGTTGCCAAGTCTACAGACCCCACCGTGGTGGAGGAGCTGAAGGAGTTCTACCACAAACAGATCCAAGACCTGGAGGACCGGCTGGCCCGGTGGGTGGGCGGCAGGGATGCTACTGTGCCAGGCCAGAAGCCCACACAGGCTCAGACAGGGGCCTGAGATCTGGGTTCTGGCCTCCTATGGGATGTTCAGACCACTTGTAAGTGGTGAATGGATCCCCCCACCCCTTCACAGCTCCCAGAGCTTGGGGAGCACTCCGCTAATTAGCATCTCAATCACAGGTAACCCCACCCCCGCTCCAGCAGAATGGGACCTTTTAGTTTGGTTGGTTGTTTTTGTTTTGTTTTGGGGGGGTTTTTTGAGACAGGGTTTCTCTGTGTAGCTCTGGCTATCCTGGAACTCGCTCTGTAGACCAGGCTGGCCTCAAACTCAGAGATCTGCCTGCCTTTGCCTCCTGAGTGCTGGGATTAAAGGCATATGCCACCACCGCCCAGCTCAGAGTGGATCTTAAGCATTATTAGTTTAGTAAGTGGGATGAATCAGAAATGGCTCCCCCTGGTGGCCATGGAGGTCATTCATTCCCTCTTTGCTTATGCCAAGCCCCAGTCAGTGTGTTTCTCTAGGCTGGGGCTGTTTCCTTAAGTGTATTTGCTTTGTTTTAGAGACAGGGTCTTACTCTGTAGCCCAGGCTAGCCTCGAACTCATGTTAATCCACCTGCCTCAGCCTCCCAAGTGCTGAGATTACAAGTGTGAACCACTACAGGTCCTAAATGGGAACTTGAGAAGGGGATTTTCTATATGGGGATTCCCTTTTAGAGCTGGGTTTGGAGGTGACAGAAACGGCAGGGAAAGGACCTTCCTAACATTTAATAAGAAATGCTGCATTTGCTCATCATTTTTCTTACTTTAAAACTAGTTTCAGAGCCAGTGAGACGGCTCGGAGGCACTGGCCACTCATCCCAGCGCACATGCTGGAGAGAGAACTGACTCCTGCATGTTGCCCTCTGACCTCCACAACGGCCCACACGCATGCATGCACATACACAGTCAATAAGTAAAATATGATAGGAACTACCGAAATGTCCCCGGGGGCCTGCCCTGAGGAGATTTCTCCAGAGTCCTGGGGAAGATGAGGGAATGAATCTAAGTGCACCGAGCTCTACCGTCCGTTCACTTTATTCCTCTAAGACAAAACTATCTACACAGCTTCAACTCTGCCCTCTACTTAGCCCCTCTCCGTCCCTTCTCCTGCTGCCCCTAATAGCTCTAACTAGGTTCTTCACGTCTCATCCTCATCTTCATCTTTGTTCCTCCTCGTTCTTCCCTGGAACCTACAATCTGCAAACTCTGCCCTTTCTGGTCGGGTGGGGTAGCTCTGCTTGGAGCTAGGAAACTGCCCCATAGCCTCACTGCACCAGGGATGCAAAGAGCCCTTTTGTTCTAAGTTGCTGGAGGCTGCCACTTTGGGCTGTGAGAGGAAGGGGGGTCTGAGCTTAATTTGCACAAAAAGCAAGGCTATGTACCTAACACCCGCCTGGCCCCGGAGACAGGCGGTGTCTCTATATGGGTGTTTCCCTTAATTCAGGAGACCAGGTTGGCGGGACATGCTTTGTCCTTAGATGTTAGCTAAAGGAGATATTGTTATACCCAGATCATGACCCCAAAGAGACCACCAAAGACAGAGGTGTCCAGAATCCAACAGCAAGGTTTATTCTATAGATACAAGTCTAGACAGGGAACTCATTCCTACACCCAATAGAGTGAGGCAGGGAAGAGTTGCTCTTTCTTTGTGAGGCTAGCTTTTTAAAGGCAAAAACCGAAAGCCCTTCAAGGCGGTTGGGGGTTACAATTATCATTTTGGGGGCAGTCCAGCACAAGTCCCAGGCTTTGTCCTTGAGCTGCCATGGGGGCTAGCTGGCCTAGCACATACTGACTGTGGGGGCTGGCTCAGTGGTCTAGGCTCTGTCCTTGACTCATGCACATAACTCTAAGTTGGTGAGGGGTCCCAGACAGTAAACATCTGGCTGAACTTTGAGCAGTCAGAGTATGTGCAGAAAGGGAGCTACTGCAAGGACTATTCTTTTGTTCACGGCCCTCCAGAGACTGCTTGCTCAGTCTCAGGAAACTGAAATTGAGGCCTGATCTCTGAGAGAAGACTGAGCAGCCTGTTAAGATATCTGCTTGGTCCGTTCAATATCTGGTTTTAATGCTAAAAAAGGAAAGCAGAAGGCAGAAAACCTTGCCTATGTGACTGTATCCAAGTACCTTAAGTGTATATACCCAAGGAATGATCAAATCCACAGTTAGAAATTCTTGGGGAGGCTGTGAGAGTGCATTTGAAATTCATGGCAGGAAACAGCTGATATATCAAAAGCTGAATAACACCAACTACTCCTTGAGATATGGCTTTTCCTTTGGAAGAATTTCTTGATTCTTTCAGGTACAGCTTTACCATATTCAACTGAACTCCTACTACATTCCTGTGGCCTGCAGCATAGAATGTTTGTAAAAATATCATTTCTAACCTGGGAACAGTGGCACATGCCTACAACCTCAGCACTTGAAAGGCAGAGGCAGGAGGTTTGCTCTAAATTCAAGGCCAGCTTGAAGGCTGCCCAGTAATTTCCAGGCCAGCCTGGGCTATAGGTGTGGGAGCCCATTTTCAGGTTCCTCGTGGCTTTACTCAGTAGATCTGCATAGAGAGGATGATTAGGACCACGGGCCTGAGTGCAGGTGTCTGAGATGGTCTGCACTTGGCTGTGCTGGGGGGGAGGTCTTTTGCTCCATCCCTTGGCGTCTCTATAAATACCCTGAGGCAGAGACAGGGAAAAGGTTCCAGGCCCTCTCGAGGCTATCCTGTATTTTCTATCTGTTCATCTCCACAATCTAAATCCTTCTATCTTATATTTCCTGCTGCTCGCACTCAAGAAAACTCTGGGGAGCTGTGGGGTTGGTGGATAAACGCCCCGAATATAGGGTAACACCCTGTCTCCAAAGAACAAAAGCTCTGAACAGCAGTAGTGGTGCACACACCTTTAATCCCAGTTCTTAGGAGGCAAAGGCAGGCAGACCTCTGAGTTCGAGGCCAGCCTGGTCTACAGAGTGAGTTCCAGGACAGCCGGGACTACACAGAGAAACCCTGTCTCAAAAAAAACCAAAAAGCTATCTTGCTGACACTATGAAGCTCCTGCCCCAGCCCCAGAGCCCCACTCCCACTAAAAGAGATGGCTCAGTGACTGAACCACCTGCCACTCAGAGTGAGGACTGGAATTTGAATCCCCAGCACCCATACAAACGAGTAGGTATGGTGCCCACCTGTAACCCCAGAGGCAGAGAGAAAGGATCCCCTACAGCAAACCAGCTAGACTGGTGAACTCCTGAGCACTGGGTTCAAGTGGAAGACCCTGCTTCTATATAGAAGGTGGAGAGCCTCCCTTTCCTTATTTATAAAATGAGTATAATTATCACAGCACCTACATCCTTGTCATTGGGGATCTCAGCAAATGTCTGCCTCTGACCTCCACACACATACACACACAAATGGAGCTGCTCATGACTGAGGCTGCAGAAAATCATGGCTGGTGTTGAGTCTGTGTGGACTCGGACAGCCCTGTGCTGTCCCGTTTTATACCAGTCCCAGAAGAGAAGCGCAGCCAGGGTCACTGAGGCTCAGAGAGGAAGAGGAGGAAGCAGGATGACAGCCCTGGCCTCTCTGACTCCTGTGGCAGGCTGTTTTCTCTCCCAACAAAGGCACCCATACCCTGAAATGCCTTGTATGCAGAATCCATTCAAAAGACTTATGAATACTTAAATATTTGTGCATAAAACAACTTCCAAATGCTTTAATTCTCCCATCTGAAACCAGTAAACATGGTATCCTTAAAATTCACAAACGTCCTTTGACCGAACACAACAGATAGAATGCATCGTGAAAAACAGATTTAGCACACGGTTAGTGGGTGCTTACTACTGGCTAAGCCGTTAGGCCCCGCGGTGCAGAGGCCGGGGCTGCCAAGTGCAGAAGGCGCTCCCGGCCGACTGGCTGCACTGTAGGGCCAGGCACTATGGCTTTCAGGTAGCCTGGCTTGGGTCAAGTTCTAGGATTATCACTTTCTAGTTCCTTCATCTCTCCAACCTCAGTTTCCCTGTGTTGCTGGGGACAAATGCACACCACCTACAACCCGGAAACAGATGGGAACATCTGTTTCCACTGTGAGCAGAGTACAGGCTCAGTCCCCACAGGACTTACATTTGAGAGAGGTAACCAGGCATGGTGGTGGCGCACGCCTTTAATCCCAGCACTCGGGAGGCAGAGTCAGGTACATTTCTGTGAGTTTGAGGCCCTGTCTCAAAACAACAAAAACCACCTGAGTGAGGTAGTCAATATAAAATACTGGCTGCAAGATGACTCAGTGAGCAAAGTCCTGACAAGCAGCAGAACTGGGTCTCAGATCCCCAGAAGCCCGGAGAAAAGCCAGGCATGGCAAGGAGTCCCTGAAACCCTGGTACTGACGGGAAAGGAGACCGGTGGCTCTCTGAAGCTCACCAGCTAGCCAGCCTAGCCAAACCATCACACTTTAGATTGAGGGAGAGACTCTGCCTCAGAAACTAAAGGTGGAAGGCCATCAAAGAGGATGCTCAACACTGACTTCAGGGCTTTTATGTGCTCGCCCGCTCTCTCTGTCTCTGTCTCTCTCGGCCCGAGGCACAGTTAGTAGAGGCTGGATTCAGATCATGAGGAACTTCAAATGGCCCTTTACAGAAGGAGGGTCTGGGAGAGCAGGTTCAGTGGTGTCTGTGACAGGGCCTAGCCTGCCTTGACCCTGCATCTCCCCTTCATCCCCAACCCTAGGTATCAGCGGAAGTGGGATGAGCTGGCTGTGCAAGAGAAGCTCTTCCGCCAGGAGTTCGAGCAGCTGGCCAACAACAAGAAAGAGATTGTGGCCTTCCTCAAGCGCACCCTCAACCAGAGGGTGGATGAGATCACGGAGCTCAACGACCAGCTGCAGAGCCTTCAGCTGGCAAAGGAGATGGAGAAGGACGCCTTCGAGGCACAGCTGGCCCAGGTGCGCCATGAATTCCAGGAGACCAAGGACCAGCTCACCACAGAGAACATTGCCCTCGGTGAGGGGACCAGGGGACCAGTCAACACACCTCTGTCAATTTGCCACTGAAGGCTGCGAGACCCAAACCCACAGCTGTCACGGAGCGAGGCTGGGCCTCACTTGGGAACTGGGGCTAACGCAGCTACCTTGAGTAGTAACAGCAGCATGCTACTTCAAACACTATCTGCCTTAAGTGACCATGCATTCACAAGGCCAGAAATGTCCCCCTTCCCGTTTGTAGATGAGGAAGTGCTTCAAAAAAGGTGGTCTTATCTATGGCACCCATTTGGAAGGGGACACTAAGACCTGACTGCCCAGATTCAGCTGAGGTTGTCATGGTCACCCTCACGTGGGGAGGTATCAGGGAGGCTTCTTGAGAAGATGGGCTGAACAAGGCTTGGTGATTAGCAGAGTGGTGGGAAGGCACTCCAGGAAAGGCTGCCCATGTGCAGGGCCAGCTCTGTCCTGTGCAGCCTAGTCCTGCTGGAGCAGAAAGCATGTGTGGGGAAGGGTAGGCAGGAAGGACATGGGCAAGGTTGAGCCCTCGGAGGGGGTCACTCACGGCTCTCAGGGGCAGCTCCTCACCAGCCTTGTGGCCCCTGATGGGCAGGGGTAAAGCTGGCTGCCCTGGAAGAATTTCGGCTGCAGAAAGAGGAGCTCACAGACAAGTACTTGATGCTAGAGGAGCAGCTGAAAAAGCAGGAGAGTGAATACAAGGACTACGTGTACAACCTGGAGAAGAAGTCTGTGCTGGACAAGGACAGGTGGGCGGGCTGGGGACCTGCTGGGGCCACACACACCCGTCTCCACATTCCTCCTCACTTCCTAGAAGGGGTTAATGGACTCCCCAGACTGTCCCCCAAACCCTGATTGGGATTTAGTGGGGGAGGGAAGGAAGGAAAGAGTTAGGTCCCACCAGTTCCCTGGGCTGGCACTGAACATTACTTTTGTGTCACTTCTTGTCACTTAATTGCATTTAAGAATGTGTTTCAATGGTTCAAATTCCAAGGGCCCAGAGATTCTCTGGGGGAAAGCCTGGGTACTCTTGGATCCCCACCCAAAAAAAGGGGTTCCAAGACATACCCATCTGCTTGACTTCCTTCCAATCCCACCCTCCTGGTCAGGCTAAGGAAAGAGATCATCCAGCGTGTGAACCTAGTGGCCACTGAGTTCCGCAAGGTGGCCACTAACCAGATGTGGGAGACGACCAGGCGGGCCATCCTGGAGAACAACAACGTGACTCTGCAGCTGTCCTGGGTGTCGCAGCAAGGGGTGCAGCTGCTGCAGGAGAACGAGCAGCTCAAGGGCGCGCATGATGAACTGCACCAGCAGGTGGAGCTCCTGGAGAACACCCAAGAGATCATGGCCAGAAACAACAGAGGCCATAAGAAGGTGTGACCACATGCCCTCCACACGTGAAATGACAGTGGTCCCCATGCCAGAGCCAAGTCATGAGGTGTGGGGGAGGGTTTGCAGTGAGGGCCCAGGCTTTCCTCGTGGGGATGCTGGCCCTGGCTCTGGAGCCTAGTTGCATGGGGAGCCCACCTTCCGGCCTAGCTGTTATCCAGAGGTGGTGCTGGCTGTATCTGCAGCAGGGAGGAAGGGTGGGCTGGGGTCCCACCGTAAGTCTGCACACGGACACCTGCCCACCGCTGCAGGTCATCCTCATGCTGACAGAGAAGTGCCGCCAGCAGAGGCAGGTCACAGAAGAGGCAGAGCAGCTTCGCCTCCTGCTGGCCGAACTGGAGCAGAACTTCCAGAAGCTGCAGAAGGACGACCAGACCCTGAGGTGAGCCTGAGTTGGGTGGAAGCCGGCCTGGGAATTCCCTTGTCTACACAGCCTCAGGGTTTGGTCTATCAGACAGGCTGAAGCCTGGATTTAGATGGGCTGCACAGAACAGGCAGGGCCCCGGCAAGCGGTGGTGCCGGCCAGAGCTGGGAGATGGGCAAGCAGTGGGCTCTATCTTGTCCTGGCCCAGGAGTGAGAAAGACCAGCTCGACCAGCAACTGAGGGAACAGCAGGCAGAGGTGAATCAGCTCCGAAAGAAGCTGGCTGAGGAACAGAAGGTTCGGGCCAGGCTGGAAACAGTCCTGGCCCAGGCCACCTCCCTCCTACAGGAAATTGTGCAGGTGAGCAGCGGCGGGAGAGGCCAAGAGGCCACCGGGGCCAAGCTTAGAGAGTTCTTTCCTGAGAGGCACACGGCCAGACTCCTTTTCTGATTCTGGACCTCAAAGATCCATTCAAGAGTTGGTTCTGAGCCGGGCGGTGGTGGCGCACACCTTTAATCCCAGCACTGGGAGGCAGAGCCAGGCGGATCTCTGTGAGTTCAAGGCCAGCCTGGACTACAGAGTGAGATCCAGGAAAGGCTCAAAGCTACACAGAGAAACCCTGTCTCAAAAACCAAAAAAAAAAAAAAAAAAAAAAAGAGTTGGTTCTGATCATACAAGCTACTGAGGAGGCTGAGGCAGGATCCAAATTCAAGACCTGACTGGGGCTACAGATTGAGTTCAAGGCCAGCCTGGGCAACTTAGCATCTTAAAATAACAAGGCGGGTGTGGCGGCAGTGCACACCTTTCGTCCCAGCACTTGGGAAGGGTGGGTATCGGCCACTGGTATGTAAGCCGTCTCACATCACACCGACAGATGCGAACAGATGCAGAGGATGGGGACTTTGACGTAGTATTCCAACTGCAGCGCAAGGAACTGCTGCAGCAGTTGCTGGCTCTGCTCATCTCGGCTGTGGCTTCAAAACCGCAGCTGGCTATGCGCTGCCACCAGGAAAACCAGCCCCAGGGCCCAACCAAAGAGAGGTGAGCAGACCCCGACTCTCCGTTCTCTCTCAGAACCTCAGCCTCCTCTTGTGGAGATGGAGGTGATGACGCAGGGTTCTCCCCACACCCGACTCAGCACCCAGATGATATCCAGGACCTCGGCTGCTTCACTGAGGCAGCAGCTCTCAACCATCACAACCTACAAGCCTGGGGATCTCGGGCTGGTGCCTCGCCAGGTCCACATCCCACCCAACCCCCAGGACCTCAGGGCTCTCTCATATGTCACCCGAATGGGGATCTGCCAGTTACAGAACACTAATGAGGTAGGAGTGCCAGGGACCCTGGGGACAGCAAGCTGACAGCTGGCCCTAGTTTTTCCATGCATAGTTGGGCGGCTTCAGGGACCTCTCTGGTCCTCCCTACCTGTCAAATGGCCCGACGAAAACAGGCAAACCTATGTTACCCTTGGGAGAGGGTCTGCTAGACTCTTTTGTCTCAACCCCATTGGTAAGGAATGGGTTAGGAGGTTACCCCACCCACCCAAGGAGGCTTCAGATTTCGAGCAAGCATCTTTTAATCTTGCAGATCTCCCCATCTGGCGCTCTCAAAAGATTCAGAAAGTTCAGCCTTCCTAAACCTTTCCTACACCGTAAGTAGCGCACGGAGAGACCAAGCCAGCGCAGACATAGACTGTTGTGGCCACAGTCCCTCCTTCACCTGCAAGTGGCCTGGGGCAACCCAGAAGTTATATAAAGAGTGGGTACCACATGTGTCATGGCAGTTCTGTGGCTGTGCCTGGGCTTCAGGGTACCGGCAGGCAGTCAAACAGGTAGATAAGTCCACTGGTGTCAGAGGCCAGACGATGGCTCCCGGCTTCGAGCACGGATGTGGTCCAGAAGCAGGTCAGTGGCCTGATCCAGCAACGGAGACAGTAGCTCCTGCTCCTCAGGGGAAAAGCAGCCCAGGACGTGGGCCTGTATCATACTAGAGTGTGTGGGGCGCCCAATGCCCACCCGCAGCCTCGGCATTGCCTGTGGGGTGCCAGAGGGATGAGGGGGCCTTGGTAAGATACACTGGGGACCCCATGCTGGCCACCCCCCACCCAGGGCAGGGCAGAGGGGGTGGACTTACACTGGAGTTCAGACAGCTAATGCAGGACCGGACTCCATTGTGGCCTCTTGGAGGGATTTGAGGAGCAGTTAGTACTTCCTGAGGCAGTCCCCTCACTTCCCTTGCCCAGGCTTCCTTTGGAGCACCCCAGCCTGTAGAGATAGGCTCAGCAACCCTACTCCACCCCAACAAAGGCCAGCATCCCTACCCAAACCTGAGCACATGCAAGCCTCACCTTGCGCTGCCCCCCAGCTTCAGAGCCAGCTTCCCCAGGGGCTTGTCAAGTTCATCATGCACCAGATAGATCTCCTCCGCAGCCAGCCCAAACAGCTCCGCTTGGCACAGGGAAACACCCTCGTTACTGCCTATCTGCTCAGAGGGATCACAACGACCCCCATATAGAAACAGGTCCCAAGTCCTCACTGTAGTAACTGGGGTTCACCGGGCACTTGTCACAGTTGAAACCCTTCTCTAGTCCCTATGCCCTCTTATCCATGAAGGCCAAAACTCACCGGCTTGGGCCACGCTGCGCCCATTGACGTTCATGAGGCGCCGTGGCCGGAGCAATACCAACTGGGCATCCCCGAACGGGGCCAGGGCAAGGTCGGCAGCGCAGCGAGAGTCGCGAGCCCAGCTCTCGGCCACTCCCAGTCGCCTCGCTATTTGCCCCAGCACCGCCATACCCACGCTGTGCCGTGTGTCAGGCATCCCATGGTTCCCCAGGCCAGCTACCTGCAGCAACACCACAGAAAACAGACCGAATAACCTATCACATAGGACCCAAAACAGTGATTAGGAAACAGAGAGGAGCGCCAGGGTCGAGAAGGAGCACTTAAGGGTTTGGGAACTCCTGGAAGCCCCACCAAGTTGGAGGTGCTGCACTCTGGTGCGGGAGCAGAGCTCCTAAAAAGTTTGGAGCCGGCCAATACTGCCGGTCATCTACTTAACTAAGCAGAAAATCTGAGAAGGAGCTCGGTAAGGTGGCTGAGAAGGTAAGGGCACTTGCTGTCCTACAACTTAGGTTCGATCCCCGAGACCCACATGGTGGAAGGAGAGAATTAACTTCCAAGTTGCCCTCTGACAGACACACGGCACATGCACACACAAACGTAACCTAAAATCTTAAATGTTAAAAAAAAAAGGAGGGTGGGGGCTGACAAGGAACTTGGGAGACTTTACCCGGGAGACAGTGGCAGCATCGGAGCCGGGCCCGAATCCCTGCGTAGTCACCCACGCCCCACTCACCAGCCACCGCCTCCCGGGGAACCGAGCGTCCGAAACGCGCTGCCTCAAAGCCCAACTCCGCCGCATCCCGGAGCGAAAAGGGCCGGACGGCGCCATGCCGCCCCAATTCACGGCCAGGACCCCGCCCCTTGACGTCAGGCAGCCCTAAGCCAATAGCATCGCCACGTGTCCAGCGACGGCCAATCCAGGCCGAGTTCGGCGGCCTCCATGTTTTTGCGGGGAGGAAGTGGGCGGGGGCGCAGGCACGGAGGGCCTCCGGGTGCATTCCACGGCGGCGCGTCACCCGGTATCGCCCGCGCCTCCCTACGTTTTCACCCCGCCCAGCTCGGCGCGCACAGCTGCACAGCTCGCAGATTCTTTCCTTGACGTAGGCCTCGCCCGGCCTTGTGATGTTTCTACTGACTGTCGGGGCGTGGCCAAATGGGCGGAGCCTCTGGGCATCCTGAAGCTGGTGCCTAGCAACAAGGAAGGCAGGGAAACAGGAAGTTAGCTCAGCCCAGAGGTCCGTCTGGAAACCAGTCATGACAGACAACAGCGAGGTGAGGGCTGAGAAGGGGAAAGCCAGCCGAGGCAGAGGGCAGGGCCACAAGCAAGGCTTGAGGCAGAGCCGGCCAAGCCCTTCAGGGGACCTAGGAGAGTTCATCGTTTGCAGTGTGGGAGGGGAGAAGGGTGACTGGCCGCCTACTCCAAAAGGAGAAGGCAGAGAAGTTCTTAATTGTAGTTGTTCTGTGTTTGTTTGTTGTTTTGGTTTTTCAAGACAGGGTTTCGCTGTATAGCCCTGGCTGTCCTGGAACTCGCTCTGTAGACCAGGCTGGCTTCTAACTCAGAGATCCGCCTCCCTCTGTCTCCTGAGTGATGGGATTAAAGGCGTGCGCCACCACCACCCGGCTTGTTTTGTTTTTCATAGACAGGTTTTCATTATACAGACCAGGCTGGCCTCTAACACAGAGAAATCTGCCTGCCTCTGACTCTCAAGTGCAGGTTGTAAGTTCTGGAACTCGGATGGTAAAGTATCCTGGCAGTCGGCAGTGACCATAAAGTCACTGTAAGCATGGCAGCTTACAGCTTTGCTCCAGGGAAAGGTTTCCCCAATGCAAGTGTTAACAACAGAAAGTATTAGAGTTCTGCTCCGCTCTGCTCCAGCAAAGTGTTACAGCTCTGCTTAGGTCCCCTGGAGTGTAACAACTCTGCTCTGCTAGGGGAAAGTTTCCCCAGCCCACAAAAGGGTCATACCTCACTACAACCCTCACTAAGAGATTTGCTGGGAAGGGAAGATACGTGAGAGTGTGGCTGCCTCGAGGTGAGGAGCAGCAACTAAACAGGATACAGAGTTCATATAAGGCTGGGGGTGGGTGGCGCTTTCCAGGGTGGCTTGGGATTGGTGGGGTGTTGTCCCCTGATTCTGGAGCAAGCTCGGAGATTGGTGGGATTTAATGTTCCGTGATTAGTGGGATTTCATGCTCAGAGATTGTGGGATTCTGCAGTCTGACTTTGGGGGCCAGGTCAGGGATTGGTGGGATTTCAAGCCCTGGTCCTGGGGTCAAATCCGGGTCAGGGTGTTTTTCCTTGGCCCAGGTCTCCAGAGGGTCTAGTCAGGGGCATGGTGTGTTTTCCTTGGCCCTTTTTGCTCTACACAGGTATTAAAGGTGTGTGTCACCACTGCTCAGCCCAAGTGGAGAGCTTTTGAGAAGTGAAACACGGGGCTGGAGGATGGACAGATGATAATAGGTCCCTGATTCTGGTGACGGACGGATGATGGGGAGGGTAACCACACAGAAGTGAGAAGTCAGGGGAAGTGCTTGCTCAGTTGTGTCCAGCTGAGTGTGAGAGTACTGGGGGATTTACAAGGAATCTCAGAGCCCAGATGTGGAGCTGGGTCTGAGCTGGGGTGCTGAGAACAATGGGCAGCTATAACACAAGAGGAGAGAGGGCCGGGGCTGCAGTGGCTGTGAGGACTCTTATCTCTTCATCTTGACCACAGGAGAGGGAGAGAGGCAGGGCTAGAGAAATGTGGGACGTCTGGAGGACAGTCACACCCCAGACTGGATGTTCCTTCTACCAGGGGCCTTCCCCACACCTCCTCCACCAGGCAGAGTCCCTGGGGAAAGTGTAGGAGTGATGTGGGGTGCTCCCTGAGGCCTTCCAAGCTTACTGCCCCTGCTTTGGTTCTAGGAACCTGACAATGCTCACTCACAGAAAATCCCAAAGCTACAGGTTCCTGAAACCCCAGAGAACACCATGCAACGTATTTTCGGGACCAGCCAGGTGTTCTACAGCGTGAGTGATATGAAAGCAAGGATGACCGGGTCAACAGTGCCTGTCAAAGTCAAGGAGTAGTAAGTGACTTCCTTGTCCCCAGCCCCAGGCTCCTGTCCCACACAGCCATTAAGGGGGAATGCAGCCCTGAGCTGGCTGCTGTCCCTCTCTGGGCCTCAGAACACTCATGGATAAAAAGTGGAGAGAGCCCCAAAAAACGCCAGCCCGCCCTCCCTGGAACTCTGCTGACTCTTCCAGCCTCTCCACTTCCGCCCGCCCCTCCCACCTGCCCCACTGTAGCCCAGAGAATGTCCTGGGCTGGTCCAAGATCAAGGCCAGCCCCGCTGCCTGAACTCTCCTGTCCTCACAGCTATCACCAAGGCCACATGTGCCTAGAACAGGAGGACTGGGAGATGGCCGTCCTCTACTTCTCCCGTGCCCTCCACCTGGACCCCCAACTGGTAAGAGGAGAGTGAGTCAGAACGGCCACTGGCAGCTCCTCCCTCACGGGCACACCTGCTAGGCCCTTCCTCCCAGGACCACCAAGTTCTTTTAAGGCTTGAGGAGCCGGACACTCCCTCTCCTTGCCCTGAGGGGCAGATGGTGGAGAAGACACAGCAGCCTGGGTCTCTTTCCTTCAGGTAGACTTCTATGTTTTCCGTGCGGAGGCCTTCATCCAACTCTGTGACTTCTCCTCTGCCCTCCAGAACCTGCGCAGGGCCTACTCCTACCAACCAGATAATACCAAATACCTGGAACGGCTGGCCTTTGTGCTCTACCTACAGGTGCCTGGGCTGCTCCCACCCAGAGGAGTGCACACCTTATGCCAGCCGCAGGCTCGCCTGCCCTCCAGCTGTCTGGAGCCTTTCTGGAATCAGATCTGAGTGCTTGGGGACTCCTCGTGTCTGTGCCCCCCACCTGCTGCCCCCTCACAGACTTACTAGTTTTAGACAGCTAGGGGTGTCTCAATAGAGCTTTGCCTCGAGGACAGGAGCCGCTCTCCACAGTCTGGGAGGCTTGCCACCAGCCGCGTGGAAATGGTGAGCTGTCAAAATGGGGCAAGTATAACAACGAAATTTGAAATTTGATTGCTTTGTACTGGTGGGGTGTAGCTCAGAGGCAGGATGCCTACCTCACCTACAGGGGGCCCTGGGTACTGTGCCTAGTACTAAGTGAAAGGTTCATTGCTTAAAATTAACCTTGAAACAATAAATTTATTTTTACATTTATTTATTCATGCCGTAGTCAGTTGTGGGTCCTGGGCGTCACACTCAGGTCATCAGGCTTGGTGACAATGCACCTTTACCACTGAGTCACCTCGCTACCCTCAGTGTCCACTTTTGTTCTTTGGGGGGTTGGGGATTTTTTGGTTTGTTTGTTTTTTGTTTTGTTGTTGTTTGTTGTTTGTTTTTGTTTTTGAGAGAGGGTTTCTCTGTGTAACAGCCCTGGCTGTTCTGGAACTCTCTATGTAGACCAGGCTGACCCTGAACTCACAGAGATCCCCCTGCCTCAGCCTCCCGAGTGCTGGATTTAAAGGTGTACGCCACCACCACCAAGCAATGTCTGTTTTTGTTGTTTTGAAGGCCAAATATTGATTGGGTAGAAGCTGAGTTGGGGCACAGCAGTGGTAGATCATTGCCTAGCGTAACAGGGGCCTGAGTTAGAGCCCCAGTACCACAGAACATGAAATCATCCGGTTCTTACAGAGGCGCTTCAGGGGCCAGTAAGATGGCTCGGCAGATAAGCGTGCTTGCCTCTAAATCTGACAACCTGAGTTTGCTATCTGAGACCTACATGGTGGAAAGAACTGACTCCTGCAAGTTACCTAGGACTTCCACGTATGTGCTGCCACAGGTGTCTGCCCCCACTCATACACAAAATAAATCAATGTAATAGAAAAGAAACACTGGGCCAGACGTGGTGACTCAGGTTTACAGTCCCAGCACTCCAGACACAGGCAGGAAGATTGTCCTGAGTTCAAAGTCTGCCTGGGTTACATAGTTCCAGGCCAGTGTGGGCTACAGTGTGAATCACTATCTAACCAAACAATCATACCTGAGAAGGAGAAAGGGGACCCCTCGAGGCACTCAAATAACTGTGTCCTGCCTCCCACTTCCTGTGTGACCCCGAGAAAGTCACTTCACCTCTCTGAGCCTCTTTCCTTCGTCTGAAAGGGGGATGCTTGTGAGTGCCAGACTTTTGGCCAGAGGCCTAGCACGCTCACTCACTGCCCCACTCTGTCTCATTAGCTGTGTGCTGCTGTGTTCCTCTTGCTTCTTGGTATCTCTGCGAAGTTCTGCATCTCCATCTCAGTCTCTTGAAGTCTCTGTCCAGGTTTCTCTCCCTATCCTCTGCCAACTGTGGAGTTCATTGGAGCTGGAGTTATAAGCAGAACTGACAGTCCCTGTCTCCTCAGGGCCAGTGCCTGTATGAGCTGTGTGACTTCCAGGAAGCCCTGTATGTCTTCCTGCAGGCCTCTGACCTCCAGCCCCAGAACCCTTCTTTCAGTTACCGATGGTGAGTGCGAGGCGCCTCTCCCCTCCCAGCAGCCTGCCCCTCACTGCCCCAGGCTGAGTACACGCCTGCCCTTTGCCCCCAGCATAGCCTGCCTGCTGGCCCTCAAGCGGCATCAGGACTGCCTCTCACTCATCACCAGGGAGGTGAAGCAAGGCAGGGCCAGTGCTGATGTCTACATTCTCCGGGCCCGGATCTACAACTTCTTCCAGAAGGTAGTGAACAGTGGGCAGGGCAGGGGTTGTGGGCTGGAGCCTCCAGTGTGCCCCAAGATCATAGAGGGGCAAGGCCAGCTGGAAGTCTTATCCCCATCAGTCCACATAGAGCCCAAGGCCCTGCCTACTGAGATAGCTGTCCTTCGTCACCCAGCCCTGGCTTTGTGTCGCACTGCACTAGGCTCTGTGGCAACCACAAAAGGGGCAGGAGTGAGTGTGTCACGCTATCCCTGTGACTTAGAGTCTTGACTGAGACTTGGGTTCTGGGGATCCAAACTGCGGTCCTCAAGCCTGAGTGGGAAGCGCTCTGCCAGTAACTGTCCCCAGCCCTCAGCTGTGTGGCATCCAGGACACCATAGACATTGGCTGATGCAGTCTCCCTGCCTTGCTTTTTCCCCTTTTCTTTCTTTTTTTGGGGGGTGGGGGGGGTGGGGGGCTCTTTTGGTTTTTTAGAGACAGGGTTTCTCTGTGTAGCTCTGGCTATCTTGGAACTCTGTAGAGCAGGCTGGCCTCGAACTCAGAGCTCCGCCTGCCTGTGCTGGGATTAGACATGGAGAAGTTCTAAAGCTCCTTGCCTCCCTGCTGGGCTGAGCATGGGTACAGAGTACAGGGAAGAGCTGGGGACAAGGGATACAGGCTGGCAGGGAGCAGGTTAAGGAGAATGGAGGCGGAGAGGAGGGGCCTGCAGTCTTCCTAGAGTGTTCCCGGGGCAGTGAGCTCTCGGGGATGGGGCCAGCTGTGGAGCCTCAGTTGGGAGGAGGGTGGAGAGGGAGTGAGGATCCAATGGAGGAAAGAGGCTCCAGAACAGTGTGCAGCGTTCTAGGTGAACTGGGTGTTGGCACCAGGAAGGGGAGGAGCCAGAGAGGATGAGAGGAAAAGGGCCGGCAGGTTCACTTCATTTCACCAGGCAAGGAGAGGGAGTGGCTGAGTAAGGGCACCCAGACAGGCTCTAGTCAGAGGCTGGGCCTCTGTGGAGTCCCCTTCACAGGCACGAGTGTGTTCATCATCACTGTTTATTGCTCACTCCCACGTCCACTCTTGTCCTGTGAAAGGCTGTTCTGAACCCAGATCTTTGTCCAGTTCGTCCCCAAGACTGTTGGGAACTCTTGGAACATAAACAATAAAGCAGCCCTGAGGTGACTTGACCAAGGCCATATAGTCGTTCTCCAGCTCAAGCCCACCTCAGCCGCTCCCTCACCACTGCCCAGCCCTCCCAGTGTGCCCTCCAACCAAACCCAAAGGAGAAAGGGGTACTTGCTAAGACTGTGGGCCAGCCAGCCGACCTGCACAGCAGTGGAAGACATTTTTGTCTAGGGATGTTCTCTGCTCATCCCCAGACCTCAGTCTGTCCTTGGTCACAGCTGCTGTTGGTGTAAAGGTCAGGGGGTGGAGGAAGAATGCAGGAGGAGGAGGAAGCAGCAGCACAGTGCCCTCTCCACAGACTTCTGCTCGGAGATGACATTAACACAAACCACTGATGCTGACCCGCTTCACTGAGGTCACACCTGGAAAGGAGCTATTAATGTTGAGGCTGGGGTTGGGTTTCCCCCAACACTTCCTGCCTCATTCAAGAGGCTGGAAATGTAGAACAATAATGCAGGGGACACAGGAGGGATGGTGTGGTGCCAGCCTGTCACCTAGAGGCCTGCCCTTCTCTACTGCTGGGATAGTACCACCCCACCATGCCACCCCTCCACCCCTCCAGGCCAAGCTTTGCTATCAGGACCTTCGAAGCGCCTTGCTCTTCGATCCCACGCACCCGCAGGCCAAAGGGCTGCTCCAGATGATGGTGGACCAGGCCAAGCAGTCCCTCCAAGATGCCAGCACCCTGGCTGTGCAGGGCAAGCTGCACCGCGCACTGAGGCGCATCAGCTGTGCCATTGAGAACAACCCCCTGGACCCCAACCTCTTCCTCTTCCGGTACCAGGGTGGAGAGGGGCTGGTCCTCCTGCAGATCTGTTGTACGGTCTCAGAAGAGTCTCTGACCCTCCCTCGGCCTCAGTTTCTCTCTCTAGCCCCTAATAACCTTCACCTGCTTTCGACTGGGGTCATGATATCATAGTCTCCATGATAACCTGGGAATCCTAGTACCCCAGCCAGGCCTGCTGAGTAGTTCATGCTGGGAGGGCAAGAGACTAGGGGTTGTATCTGGTCCCCCAAGGATTTGGTGTCATTCAATCTCCCTAATCATTGGTTTTCTCATCTCAACAGTTGGCTAAAGTATGTGTACACGAAGGCCTGAAGAGGGGCATGTGAGATGGTTCAGTGGATAAAGTAGCCTGAGGAACAAACCTGTCAACCTGAGTTCAAGTCCCAGAAACCACATAAATGTGGAAGGAGAGAACTGACTCCATAAAGCTGTCCTGAACATACAGGCCAGCACATAGCTGGTTTCCAAAATGGGAAACTATCCTTGAGAAATGACAAATACTGGTGACTAATAGGTTATGCAGGCAGCAATTGTGGACCAGTACCAGAGGACAGACCGAGGGCTTGAGGCAGAATTCATGACTGTTAGTCAAAGGTCATGGATAAGAACGCCCAGGGTGGCCAGTGGCCTTCTAGCCAAATAGGATGCTTTGATCCTTCCTTTACCTGCCATGTCCACCACCATAGGGGCACCTTGTACAGACGGCTCCAGCAATTCGACCCAGCTGTGGAAGACTTCCTGAAGGCGCTGGACATGGTGACTGACAGCCAGGACAGCCTGGTGCAGAAGGTACAGCGTCAGCTGCTGCTGACCTACAACGACTTTGCCGTGCACTGCTACACCCAGGGTGCCTATCAGGAGGGTGTGCTGCTGCTGAACAAGGCAATCAGGGATGAGCAGAATGAGAAGGGCCTGTACATCAACCGTGGGGGTGAGCTGGGTGGTCAGACCCTGGCTAATGCCTGAGGCAGCCAGGCTGGGTCCTGGCTTTGGTCTGGGAGTTGGGGATGCACTCAGACTTCGCCCTCGGGTCCTAGATTGCTTCTTCCAGCTGGGCAACCTGTCCTTCGCGGAGGCGGACTACAAGCAGGCGCTGGCACTGAGCCCACACGATGAGGGAGCCAACATCCGCATGGGTGTGCTGCAGGAGAAGATGGGATTCTGTGAGCAGACGCGCAGGTGTCTGGGGGCGTGGCCAGTGGGGGCGTGGCCAGGGAGGGTGCGGTCAGAGAGCGCAGCTAAGGAGGGTGGTGGGCAGGGAATGGGCTCACCAAAGCCACCTGCTGCTTGTCTTCTGGACAGATTTTATTCACATCCTCACCACAAAGACTTTCATTTGATTATTTTAGCGATTAAAGCTTTTTAATGAAAAAATTAAATATTCAATAATATATGATTCAGAATGTCTTTTTTGTTTGTTTTTGAGACCGTTTCTTTGTGTAGCCTTGGCTGTCCTTGGATCTCGCTCTGTAGCCCAGGCTGGCCTCGAACTCACAGAGCTCTGCCTGCCTCTGCCTCCCGAGTTCTGGGATTAAAGGCGTGCGCCACCACCAAGGGTTTTGGAATGTATTTTCAAGGCCTGCCTTCCCACCCACTAGCCTCCCTCTGAAGATCCCTCCAGGACTTCTGTTGATTCCCAGCACCCACGTGGCAGCTCACAGCCGCCTGTTACCCCAGTTCCAAGTGATCAAGCATGTAAATGGTTCCCAAACATGCAGGCAAAACACCCATACACATTTCAAAAAATGTTAGCTCTAGATGTAGTGGCCCACACCTTTAATACTAGTGTTTGGGAGGCAGAGGCAGGTGGACCGCTAAGAGTTCTAGGCCAGCCTGGTCTATATACTGAATCCCAGTAATGCTAAAACTACATAGTGAGACCTTGTTTCAAAAAACTGAAGTAAAGAAAACAAAACAAGCCGGGCGGTGGTGGCGCACACCTTTAATCCCAGCACTCAGGAGGCAGAGGCAGGCGGATCTCTGTGAGTTCAAGGTCAACCTGGTCTACAGAGTGAGTTCTAAGACAGGCAGAGCTGTTATATAGAGAAACCCTGTCTTGAAAAACCAAAAAAAAGAAGAAAAAAGAAAGAAAACAAAAACTATTAGGGTATACCAAAGTTATAGTACTCAAGTGTCCAGTCCATCGAGGGTGTGGCCAACAGGAGTGAGAGGGAGCAGAGGCCCTGGTTTTCCTTCAACTCCTTGGTGCTCACCGCTCCTGGGTGGCCCAGCTCATGGCAGCCTTGGGCATGTCCCTCAGGCAGTTCCAGATGGCGGAGGAACACTTCACAGCAGCCATAAAGCACAACCCTGACAAAGCCCAGTACTACCTGCACAGGGCCAAGAGCCGACAGCTCCTGCGGAACACTTTGGGGGCCCGCCAGGATGTTGCCACTGTGCTGCTCCTGAACCCCAACCAACCAAAGGTGGGCTCCTGCTGAACCAGAAAGGCCCACGCCCTGGCCACTTGATTGCTGTTCCTGTCCCTAAAAGAAACTGGCGACAATGAGCTGCCACTCCCACTAGCCTTCCTCCCTCCATTCCATCCACAGGTGTAGAGTGAGACTCATGGGTACAGGCCCAGCTGCCCCAAAGCTAGGCCCTGCTCCCCATTAGGGACCGGTCCATTTCTCTCGGTCGCCTGCTCCTTCTGGGGCAAAGGCCCCAGTTTAGAAAGTTTGCAGATGCCTTCCCTGTTCATCCCTAGGGCAAGGTAGCACCACCCCTCTCCTCACCGTCCAACCCTGCTGTTCCCTGGCAGATGGCCCCACTGATGAACAACCTCTTCCCCGGCATGACTGTGGAAGAAGTGCTTCACAGCCAAGTGGCCCATCTGGCCAGGCTCCAGCTGCGTCAGACAATAGAAAGCAGTCCAAGGACCAGCCACCCACAAAGCATTGTGGCGTAAGCTTGTGGGAGCCCTGGCCAGCAGTGGGAGCAGGTGGGGACTCAGAACTCCTCTGATCTAGTTGCCTCATAAGGCCTGCAGCTGTCTGGTCCCTGGGGACAGCAGGTTGGATCTAGAGACTGATCAAAGACCCTGGGACCATGACTTGTCAGGCAGAGGTTAATGGAGCGCCAGAAAGCCCGAGCCTTGGTGGAGTCCTGGAATAAGAAACATCCTTTCAATGAGATCCCGGAAGAGGAAGTGGCTATTTTCCAGACCCCACAGGATGAGACCCTGGAAGATAAGACGGAACTCGAGAGAGAGGAAGCAGAAGAGAAAAAGGTGAGGAACTTAGGCTGGGGCCTAGACCCTTGGAGCCTAGTGTGGCTGACCTCATTTGAGACGGAGACACAGCAAGGAGTGCCCTGTGACTGTCCTCTCAGCAGGAGAGTGACAGGGTCCGATTGGCCTCACCTACTCACCCACCCCACGAGGTTTCTCTGTGTAGCCATGGCTGGTCTGGAACTCACACCTGCCTCTGCCTCCCGAGTGCTGCGATTAAAGGCGTGTGCCACCACACCTGACAGATTTGCTTCCTATGAGGTCACTCTGCATTGGCACAGTTGCTTCTGAACTTCAGCACATGGGGCTGGGGCCGGAGCTCTGGTCCAAGTGACATGGGACATGAGGGCCTCCCCATAGAGATGGTGGCTGCAGCAGAGCCAGGTGGAGAGGGGAGGGTGCTAGATTCCCTGTAGAAGTTCTGGGACACTCAACAAGGCTGAACTACAATGCCAAAGGTGATTGACGTCTACGTGCTCTGGGAGCATCGGCAATGTCATGTCTCTAGAACTGTGAGCCTCCCGTCTGATTGAGAGACGATGCTATGATCACACACCGCTTGGAGCACTGGCCACTTGTGCCTTGCTTTCCTTACTAAACTCTCCATGAAGTCTTTTCATTGACTACAGCATGGACAAGCACACAAAGTATGTGTGTGTGTGTGTGTGTATGTGTGTGTGTCTTGTGTTATTTGTACGTTGTCTGTGCAGGACACATGCCCACATGGAGGCCAGAGGCCAGAGGACAACATTGGGTGTCCTTCCTTCTCTATCATGTTGCACCTTACTGAGAATAAGAGAGCCTCAAAATCCTCCTGTCTCCACTTGCTCCAGTTCTGGCATTACAGGTACACATAGCCATCCCAGACCGTATGTAGGTGTTGGGGATTTCGACTCAGGTGCTCACACTTGCATAACCCTTTACCTACTAATCTCTCTTCCCTGTCTGTTGTTATCATTACTTTTCAAGCCAGGGTCTCACTGCATAGCCCTAGCTAGCCTGGAACTCACTCTATAGACAAAACAGAGCTGGCTTCAGACTCACAGAGGTCTGCGTGCCTCTGCCTCCCTGGGCTAGGGTTAAAGGCGTGCCCAGCACACCTGGCCCCTAGCCTGTTTGTTTTTGAGTCAGTGTCTTGCTATGTAGCCCGGCTGGCCTAGAACTCCTTATGCAGTTAGGCTGGCCATCCCCCACCGTAGCCTCCGAAGTGCCGGGCCGCAGGCACGCACCACCACAGCTGAACTCCAGTGTCTGTCTTCAGTGAAGGGCTGGCTGAATTTACAAACTACGTCTTCCACGGCCTCATCACACGGGGGAACAAACACATTCTCAGCTCCCAGAAGGCCCTTGGTGCATGCATCCTCCTTGGCCCCTGCCCGGCTCCCCACTTCTGCACAAGGCTGTGCCAATTCCTAACTCCCTATGTGAGGTTTGCCTTTGCTTTAAATGAACAAGTGTGGCCTGCCGCCCTGTCTCTGGCTCCTTCCCCTAAGTGTTACACTTATACAGTTCACCCAAAGAATGTCTCACCTGTCTATCAACCTGTTTTGCTGTCAACAAATACCAAGTAAGTCTGTGTTCGAGGATGTTATGCAGTTGTAGTGAATGCTCTACCAGTGTCCTTCCCAGCTCACATCCAACAGACAATAACAGACATGCATCTGTGTACCCACTAAAGTCATTGTGGGCATCATCTCTGTGGGAAATAAGCTGAGATGGGCACCGTGAAGAGGCCCGGGTCAAGGGGATGGCGGCACCTGCTGTATGTACCCTGCCCCTCAGCTTTACCTTTTCTCCCACGACAGATGTCATTGTGGGTGGAGGAGGCCACAAGTCCTGCTGGATACAAAACCTATTCTCTCCTCAGCAACAAGTGGCCCCAGCAGGTTGCTTAGGTGCTTGGAGGCTTTGTTCTCTGAATTATGAAATAGTGATGGGGCTGGCGAGATGGCTCAGTGGTTAAGAGCACTGGCTGCTCTTCTAGAGGACCTGGGTTCAATTCCCAGCACCCACATGGCAGCTCACAACTGTCTATAACTCCAGTTCCAGGGAATCTGGCACCTTCGCACAGACATACATGAAAGCAAAACACCAATGCACATAAAATAAGAATAAATGAATCATTTAAAAAATGTTAAAAGAAAGAAGTAGTTATGGCAGAAGTATCCCCACTGGGAACGAAAGAGTGAAATGTGGGAAACAGATTCCTCAGTTCCTAACGTGCATTTCCAGGGCTCAGCACTTCAGTTTGCAGAAGCCTGGCCCCCATGTGAACCAAGGTTCACAGGTATTGCCTGTCTAGCCTGACTACTCCCTGGCCTGCAGTCTCCTTCCCTGGGTGCTCCCACCCATCCTAGAGTCTGTGAGGAACTCTAAGCTTGAGAGAAAGACTGCTAGAGTGGGGGGGGGGAAGGAGTTGGCGACATGGCTCAGTGATTAAAAGTCAACACTGCCTTTGTAGAGGATCTGAGTTTGGTTCCCAGCACCCACACTGGGCTGCTCACAACTGCCTGTAACTCCAGCTCCAGGAGACCTGACGTCCTTTTCTGGCCTCTGTGGGCACCTGTACTCTTGTGTACACACAATCACTTGTGCATACACATTTTTAAAAGTAGAAAATAAGCTGGGTGGTGGTGGCACACACTTTTAATCCTAGCACTCTAGAGGCAGAGGTAGGCAGCTCTCTGAGTTCAAGGCCAAGGCTACACAGAGAAACCCTGTCTGGGGAAGGTGTGGGGGGGGGGGGAGTGGGGGGAGTGGGGGGGATGGGGACTATGGCTGAACCGACCTGTGACCTTCCAGACACAGGGCTGTGAGTGCAAGGGTCTCCCAATCTGCAGCTCCACAGCCTGACTCTTGCTATAGGTGAAGATGCCCCGCAAGGTGATATCCCTGTCAGACAGCTACGTGGACCAGACCTCCTCAGGCTCAGTCTTCAGCAGTAAGTCCTTGATGTTCCTAAGCCTAGTAGACCAAAGCAGCAGAGAGGTCAGAGGTTAATGCTGAACCTTGGGTTCTGCCCTGGATAGCTCTGACACTGCACAAGTGTCTCTTAAGTTAGAAGTGACAGTCCTGACCTCACAAAGCATGTGGTAGGGACTAAGTGTCCCTGAACGAAGTCACACGCCTCATACGTATCCAACGGGTGTTGACTCCCATTTTGCTGTCACCAGCCAAGAGGGATGAAAGGGCAAAGCAAGAAGGCTGCTCCCCAGAAAGCATGGTGTGGAGTGGCAGCCTCAGAGACGGCTGTTCCCAGCGCTCCCTGGTGCAGGGTGGCAGTGTTAGTCCCCTTTCTTCCATTTGGTTATCGTCTCCAATCTGCTCTGTGCTGGTCTAAGTGCCCTGAGACAGGCTTGTGCCTAACAACTGGTGATGTGTGGCCCAGTCCTTGTCCAAGGAGATGAACCCTACGTCAGCTAGGGGAGCAGCCAGACAGACAGACAGGCATATGGGGCTGGGTTTCAGAGGGCAGGGGTGTGATTAGACCTTTCAAGAGCTCATGGTGGACGTCAAGGAGCTGAAGGAAGAGTAGGAGGTAGCTGTGTGTAAGCAGGGATGGGTAGGGCACTGCTGGGGCCGAGTTCGGAGGTTTATGGGAGAACGGGGCTGGGGAGAGACAGGAGAGAGGCCAGGGTGGGTGAGCAGTGCTTAGGCGGCTACTCATCCTGTGCACAGCCCAGGCCAATGGAGGAGGGCCTGGTGGGAGCTGGGAGGCTCCAGAAGCCCCCTCTTCCCAGAGCCCCCTGGAGAGGCAAGCAGGCCTAATGGCTGCTCTCCACACTTGCCCAGTCCTGAGCATGAGCACCTTAGTATCGGAGACATCAACCAGTCAGGAGTATTGGAGTTCTTCCAACACAGCTGTGACATCGTCTGAATACTCACTGCCTAAGTCCTCACAGCCCAGGAAACAAGCCACGACGACGACCACGACCCAAGGCCTCAGCAGGGCTCCCAAGGTCATCCAGTTCTCTGACCTAAACCAGAGCGTGATTGAGACCACACCTCCCTGTAGCCAAAGGCGCCACTCCAGCAAGGCAGAGGCCCCCCAAGGCCCAAAGCCAAAGCCCAAGAAGACAGGGCCTCCCCAGAGCCCAGGAAAACAGGGCCCCAGCCAGAGCTACAGAGTGACAGAAGCCACTGAGGGTCCAAAGTCTAGCAAGAACAGGGCTGACCTGAGCCCGAGGCAGAGGGTCAGGAGAGCCAAGGCTGTTCGTGCCCAGAGCTGGAGAGTCAAGAGCCAGAAATCAGCAAAGACTTCCAGCAAGACCCTCCTTTCCCATGGCAGGGGCGGGAATAGGTCCAGTGAGGCCCAGGGCCAGAGTTCAGGGCCCAGCAAGGCGGAGGAGGCCTCAAGCTCCACTGAGAGCACAACGACAAGCTCCAGCAGGACTGACGCCATCTTGGACCTGAGTTCACATCTCAGCAAACCCAAGAATTCCCAGGACCAGAGCCTGAGCCCCAGGAAGGCCGAGCTCTCACCCACCCCTAGCCACTCTGCTGCTCCCTGAAAAGGAGAGAACAGATTTGCCCAACACCCTAGCTTTCAGAAAAGCTGCCTCCTCCAAGCGCAACAAGAAATCCTGGTCGATGTCCCGATCCTATGGCTAAGTTTATTACCCTGTTCTCTTCTTGTACAAAATTAAAACTTTGAAATCCAGGCTGGCAGCTAGAGTCCCTCCATTTGGTGAAACTGTGAGGTTCCAGTCTGGCCTTGCTGGGTTTCCAGGTCCAGCCACAGGCTGCGATCTGGCCATGGAGCCAGGCAAGGTGTGCAGGTAAAAGCCCCTGATGGAGCAGCCACGAGCCTTTGTCCTGAGTTACAGTTCACATTGAGAAGGCTCAGGCTGCAGGACTACGGCAAGGCAAGGCTGCTGTGCAGTTCTGTGGTGCCCAGGAGTTTCCCAGAGAAGATGTCTTCCAGGCCTTTCTTCATCTTAACTCTGTGCTCTGGGTCCCACTTGCCAGCCAGCCTAGGAAAGAACCCTTCAGGAGACGCCCAGGACTTTCCTGCTTGTTCCGTCTAGACAGAGGTGGCAATGATGCCACCTGGGGTCCTCAGAGGAAAAAGGTGATTCGGGAGGCCACCGTCTTGCAGCCATTGGAGGAGAAGAGCTGTTCATCCTCTGGGAAGTAGGTGGTGCTGTCCAGCACAGCCTGAACCACTTCCTCCTGGGGCTCCAGGCCCAGCTGAGCCAGCTCATTGAGTACACAGTGGCGCACGTGATGCCGCTGCAGAGGGAGAAAGGGCACCACAGCATCCAGCAGGTGTTCCTCCATGATGCCAGACTGCCAGAAGCCATCTGCAGGAAGGGCAGGTAGGCATAGAAGGCATGGTGAGCTTTTCAAGTCGGGAGCTCATGCCCCCTAGGGGTAGTGGTGGTGTAGTGCAAGCTGCAGGAGTCGGGCTGTTTATATGCCCGGTTCAGGTCACAGAGCGGGGGTGTGTGTGTGTGTGTGTGTGTGCGCGCGCGCGCGCGCGCGCGCGCGCGCTCGCATGCAGAAGCCTGGGGGAAGATCTACGGGCAGTGGACAATGCTTCAGACTTAGGGGTCCAGCCCACATGCGTGAAGGCCCCACAAGGACGGGTCCCAGGCCCACTTACGGCGAGGGTTGTTTAACACAGCTCGGGAGACTGCTGGCTCCAGGTCCTGCAGGCTGATTTCTTCCCTGTCCCTGCGGCTGCGCCATGCCTCCAGGGCCACCTGGTTGATCTGCTCGCCACCAGTATTGCTAAAATCACAGGAATCCAAGCTGAGTCTCACTGAGGGACTAGAGGGTAACACCTAACATGATTCAGGAAGCAAAGTAGCCCATTTCCGTCTCCCCCCAGGTCCTATGACAACCAAGTCTCCATAACATGTACATCCCCATGCACTTTACAATTCACAAAACAGTTTGGGGGGTGGGGTTGACAGCGTGTCTTGCTACTGAAGCCACCCTCCTGACTCAGGGTCCAGAGTGCTGGGATTACAAGTGTGTGCCATCACACTCGGGCCAAAGAATCCTTTTATCTATGAATGTACCCTTTACCTAGCTTTCCCCAAGAGGGCAGTGGAGCATTAGCACTGATCCAGATTCAGAAGCAGAGGACAGAGCTCAGAGGCTCAGCAGGTTGTCTTAAGGAGTCACAGCTTGGAAACAGGGCTGGGGTAGAGGGTGGGGTCACTGGTCCCTTCCTCCCAGGCCTGTGTCCTCTCAGTTCCCAGAGGGATGACCAGGCAGGGATCCACACAGAAGCAAGGATCTAAAAGAGCCCAGAAGGGCTTTGAGGATGTGTCTAAGGGGTAGTCAGCCACCTCTCCAGTCACTGGGACAGTGTGAGGAGCTGGGAGAGCCTGTGAGGGCTCCAGGGAAGAGTACCCTGCTGGGGTCACAGGCCCAAGCTGACAGCGGACCTCTGACAGTGTCCCCCACTCAGCCTGCTTGAAATACCTGATAAAAATAAAAATGGCTTTGCGATAGTTGGTCCCGTACACAACCCAAGAGGGGCCCAGGAAGGGCTGCAGGACTTCCATCAGGCCAGGGGGCAGCTTGTCCATCTCATCAAAGAGGAAGAGAGATCGGCCACAGGCAGTGAGGTTCCCCTGGACCCAGCTCTTGAGATCCTTCTATGGGGTAGAGACAGGAGTTCCAAAGAAGTGTAAGACACGCCCCCAACCCCCAACTTCTTCCCAAACCAAGTAAAATCCCCAGAGAGATGATCTGTGTTTCCAGAGAACACCAACCCCTTGAGACAGATGGTAAAAGGGTAGTCTAGAGAGGCGCAGGGACTTGTCCAAGGTCACACAGCCAGTCAACAGGAGAGCAGGGACACAAATCCACGTGCCCCAATTGTCTGTTCGTGACAGCTACTGACTGTGCCATGGGATGCTGAGCCTGCCCCACGGTGTAGGCAGCTAAGACACGAGGAGCAACAGCAATCAGAGGCGGCAGTCACAGGGAGTGCTTTCTGAGCAGGGGGCCTGAGAATGCAGACACAGGTACTCTGTAAGTAATGTCTGCCCTGGACAGTCCTCAAGTCTCTGGTGCACAGCACAGGTGCCAATAATGCCTCCTCCCCTGTATCCGAGAGAGCAAGCTCTGTTCCGTACAGGTTTTGAAGGTTGACGCTCCAGCTGGCTGTGTGGTTTGGAACCCTCTCTGGATTAGAACTGAGGGAAGGGATCCCGGGCACATCCATCATACCTTGTACTGCTCAGTGTGGCTGGGGTGTGGGAAATGGATGATGGGTGAGAAGTAGTGCACATGAGGGCTGCGAAGGCCCCCCTGGAAGAGGTACCGTGCCAGCAGGGAGCTAACGTAGGACTTCCCAGTGCCTGTCCAGCCGTGCAGGGAAAGGACCAGGGGTTTGCTGGGGGCCGGGTCCTGTACAAAGGCCTTCAGTGACTTCACCACCAGGGCCTTGGCCAAATGCTGGCCAGCCAGGTGTTGGGCCAGGTCACATTCCAGACCTAGGGCCACAGAAGGAATATATATCAAAACAGATGACAGGGCTGGTGACTCATGTCTATAATCTCAACATCTGGGAGGCAGAGGCAGCAATTTTCCAGCTAATCAAAGGCTAGCCTGGGCTTATAGTGAGTTCCAACCGGCCTTTAATCCCAGCATTTGGGAGGCAAAGGCAGGGGAATCTCTGAGTTCCAGGCCACCAGCCTGGTCTACATAATGAGTTCCAGTCCAAGAAGGTTTACATGGTGAGACACAGTCTCAAAACAAACCAAGGAGGGAGGGAGGGAGGGAGGGAAGGAGAGAGGGAGAGGGAGGAGAGAGAGAGAGAGAGAGAGAGAAATCAACCGGGCATGGTGGCACAAACCCTTAATCCAGCACTGGAGGCAGGGCCAAGTGGATCTCTGTGAGTTTGAGACCAGCCTGGTTTACATAGTTCCAGGACAGCCAGCGCTACGTAGAGAAACCCTGTCTCAAAAACAAAACAACAAAACAACCCCCAAACCCCAAAGCCCATCAAGGCAGAGGTTCAAGGGGAAAGGCATGTCTGAGACCTCGGGGGTATTTGTCCAAACGAGGGACAGGGGCAGCCACCTCAGCAAGAGCCGGCGCGGCAGCGCCCCCTCCAGGCGGGTCTCTGGATTGCACCAGCCCCGAGTGAGCGCCAGCTGTCCCCAGGTTCAGCTCAGACCCGGGCCATTTGCAGGTTTCTCCTCGGGCGACAAGTTCGCTCAAGGGAGGCCTTCCATGAGCCACCGGGCGCCCCGCTGTCAAAGGCCTCTCTCCACAGGGCACCCCTAAACCGCTGCCTCAGGTTTGTTGCCGGAGGCTCTCTGACCGCCCCCTCCCCCGCCGGTCCCGGCCGCAGCTGCTTCGGCCCCCTGCGAGCTCCCGGCTGCCCACCCCTCCGCCCTGGCTCCCATCCCTCACCCGGCAAGTCCGGCCAGAAGTCGCATTCGCAGAAAGAGCCGAAGCTGCAGCGCAGAGAAGCCACGTCCCAGGCGGTGGCGGTGGCCAAGACCAGTGCGAGCAGCCCGAATATCGAGCCCCAGGGCCGGCAGCCTCGCCTAGCAACCGCCATCCGGTTGAGGCCCGATTTCGGTCTGAGGCCGCCCACTGCCAGAACCTGTAAACTACAACTCCCGGCGCGCACCGCTCCGCGGCAGCCACGCCCATTGCCTGCAACTCCCGTCTTCCCTTCCTAGCTTCTCTAAAGCCCGAAGCGTTGTCTAGCAGCAGTACTGGAAATAGGCCTCCAGGGGGAGCCCGCGAACCGCCCGATCCGAGGCTGTGGTCCGCGTTTCCATGGTCACGGGTAACTAGGGGCCGTCACCTTACCTCAGAAAGAATAAAGGATTGTTAAGAGGGTGACGCAACAATAACAAAAACTTGTGCGGAACCTTACACTTTGCTGAGCGCCTTTTCCAAGCTCTTTAAAAAAATTTATGTGACAAAAGCGTGCTCACTTAGAACAGCTTTTTGAGAGCCTCTCTCTGCCAGTGTCAGGTGCCGTACATGTCCTGTAACACCTGCTATATCCAGGGATGGTGATACTCAATGAAATGTGGTCACAGTGTTTTGGCTCAAAAAATAGTCAGCAGGACCCGTGAGATGGTTCAGTGGGTAAAAACGCTTGCCACCAAGCCTGGGGTCAATCCCCAGAGCCTGCCTAGTGGAAAGAGAGAACCGATTCAGGCTGGGGAGATGGCTCAGAGGTTAAGAGCACCGACTGCTCGTCCAGAGGTCCTGAGTTCAATTCCCAGCAACCACATGGTGGCTCACAGCCATCTATAATGAGATCTGGGCCCTCTTCTGTATGCATAATAAATAATTCTTTTAAAAAGAGAGAGAGAACCAGCCGGGCGGTGGTGGCGCACGCCTTTAATCCCAGCACTCGGGAGGCAGAGCCAGGTGGATCTCTGTGAGTTCAAGGCCAGCCTGGGCTACCAAGTGAGTTCCAGGAGAGGCGCAAAGCTACACAGAGAAACCCTGTCTCGAAAAACCAAAAAAAAAAAAAAAAAAAAAAAAAAAAAAAAGAGAGAGAGAACCAATTCCTGCAAATTGTCCTCTGATCTCCACACATACGTGCACACACGGACTAAATGGATAAAAAGCAAATTAAAAGGCAGTAATGCAGTTTCATAAGTCTGAGTAATTCAGAAAAGTGTAACTTTCCCTTTTCTTTCTTCTGTTTCATTTTTCAAGACAGGA